AATAATAATGCCTTCGATCTTGAATCATTTAGGTTTGTAATCTTTTTTGCATGGCTTTCTTAGTTGTTTAGTTCAGGTCCATTTAGATAATATACATGGTACCTAGTAAGCTGTCTTTTAGGTAACATTTTAATCTTTTCAGGAAATATAGTTTGACAAAATGTGTCTTATTTGTCAGCTGATAAAAATCTTTGCAGTTTAGAATCCATGTTGAGGTACCCATTGAAATAAATGCAAACAAATTAAAGTCCTGAAGGTGCAATAGTAGTGGTTTTGAACCAATTCTTATTATTAACTGATATTAATATTAACTGTTTGAGGCCTGGACTTTTTGTTTGGTTCAATTACACAGATACTGTTATCTACTAAAGTAGTTGTAGCTCAGCTAGGATGAAAACCCTAAGAATCAAATCTCTAGAGCTGCAGTTGCACTCCTCTGTCCTGTAAAAAAAAACATCCGCACAAAGGCCACCATTAACTACTCACCCCTATTTGGTAATCAGAAAAGATTCCAAGCCCATTCCGAAAGCAATTCTTCAAAAAAGTTCAATAATGATGTATTAGAAATGTTTAACCCTCTAACCGGTCTGAACACTAGAAACGATGTTTGTGTAGGTGCAGCATCGTCAGCTTAACTTATATACATGTTTTGTATTATTCTCTTCAGCTCAGCTTCCCCTCCTACAAAAGGAATCTTTACCCTTTCTGTGCCCAATGAGTTTAATGTGTAAGAAGTCAGCTTTGCATCACAGTTACTCAGAAAAGCCGTGCTTTATTCTCTTTTTTATATTTGTAATGGAAAACCCCTTATTGACACAGTCTATATTGTGGTGTGCAAAAATTAAAAAAGGTATTGAAAGTACACTGATTTACCATAAATCTTGATGCTTCTGAGTGGGAAGTTTTGTGAACTGGTACCTGTGTTGCTAAGTGATCAATGAGTCAGAACAGGGCAACCTTTGACACACTTTAAGGCTAATCCTTAGGATAGTGCTCTGACTATGCAAAGAAAAGAAACAAAGTACAGCACCTTGAAGTATGATTTATAAAAGAATTAACAATAGCTCTTGAATTTGTAAGAAGCAGCACAAATCAAACAAGTCCTGTCTCCAGAAATGTCAATCAGAAAACACAAATATCAGATGCATCTATATCTTTTCTTGATTGCTTTCCTGCTATTTACTGTAGTTGTAAGGGATCTGATTTACATTGAACAAGAAACAAAACATACACACCTTTGATTTGCTTTTCCTTTAAAGATTGAAAAGAAAAGTGTGAGAAATTATTCTCATGAACGTTGTGCTTTCTTTCTTGTTTTTGCTGATATTTATACAAGGCGATGATTATACCAAAGGAGCTTCATGTCGCCGACGGCAAAGTTAAAACTTATTTTTGGTGCTGATGTAAGAAATTGGGGACTTTTCTTTCTGTCTCCCCCACCTCCAACCCAGTATTTCCTGTCTAGTCCTTAAAGCATGAATGTCTTTTTTATATCAGTGGTGTCATCTGAAGGAGAAATTACTGCATACAGTATAAAATTCAACTGCAAAAGGAAGACATGTTCAGGTTCTGCTTCAGCAGCTGGCATATGTTGCATTGAAAACCCCTTTCATCCCATCAACACATCTGAACTTGCTTCATTACATAGTTTAAAACTAACCAATGTCAATCCCTTAACATAACCAAATGTTGTAATGTAAACCAATAATTGTTAAGGTGTCCTTTTTTGTCATTCTTAGACAGGTCAGTGAATTCAAAAACAAAATTGTTTTACGGAACTCAATTATGACTGAGAGTTTGCTGCGTTCGTGTAAGATGAATTCAAATTACTAGCATGTAAAGTTTAGATATCCATCAGAAACTATGGACATCTGTGCAAGGTAATAAGATGTGTAAATTATATACCTGCATCAAATCTCTTAAGATTGTGTTTTTCATTTTTACGACTTTTTGCTTCCTGTTTAAAAACTGATACAGATACAGAAAGCATCTGATAACTGATACCACACACATTGCTATTTTGAAATCTTTATGTTTTACAGAGAGAAATTGGATGATCTCCTACCTTTAATTCTGTCTTTTTAAAATGTTATTGAACTAAAGGAAAGATATGTGGATAAACAAGTCTGTGATCTTTTATACTCCCAAAGCTAACTCCTTTTCAAAGGAGTTTGTTTAATCAAATTACAACTGTGAGCAGTTCAAGTGGATAATTGATGTACAGTATTTGTAAGATGTTGAAAATGGTGTTAATGTTGTTTCCTTCTAAGAAAGGGTTTGAATAATCTCTGAAAATTAGTGAATCCATGGATGTTTAAGTGCGATTTTCTGACTTCTAGATGGATTATAGCCATAATCTTAGTGATGGCATAACACTAAGTGCTACTCCTTCATTTAAACTAAACTCCTGCCAGAAATGTTTAAAATGACTAGTTTGTTTACTTTCTTTCACAGGTAGTTTATTTCTTACACCTTGTGGTCTTCCATTGAAAAATCAGGTATTGGCTAACCACATTATCTGGCTCATGTATGGAAGGTCATGGCCAACAAGTAATTGTTGTGGGATAGACAATTGAATACATAAAGATAGGGCTCTGTCTATTGAAAAACCCCAGAACATTCTAAAAAAAAACCTTGCGCCAAACATGTCATGCACTAAAATGTTGTTGTGATTAAAGCATTATGATAAATAGTGGTTTCTTCAAAATAGGCTGTAGTAAATAATCCATATAAAAATGCCTGTGTGACTTAAACAACCACTTTAGAATAATGCCCTTTATGCATCTTTTCCATCGCATAAACCTTGAAGCATTAAAATGAGAAAATAAAACAAATCTTAAGAATAATTCAGTCAAATCCACATATTTATTTAGCAAATTAACGTTTATCATATTCTAGCTGTTATTGGAAAATATTCCACCTTTCTCTTCCTTTATTTCTTTGCTCCCAGACATATGTTGTTAGTGCCTAACTCGCTTACATGTATACCTCGAATACAAATTTGGCATTTCGTGCTGCAGCAGTATAAACTATGTTTTTATTTAATTGAGAGCATTTTCTTTTTATGTACATACAGTATCTGTAAGAGTGAAATGCCGGGGGAGGTAGGGATTTTTGTTCACTGGTAAAAAGGCAGATGCACATTCATAATTGTACTGTTTTAAAACTTTCAATCTGAAAGCTTGGTCTTTATGGCCTCAGAGACATTGCTATACAGGGGTACATGAAATTTAACTAATGCTGAGATTCAGTTTCATATCTCTGGGGGATTCAGAAATGACTACTGCGAGCTTGAACTTCTGAAGGTTTTCTCTGAGTACCAAGAAAGCTCAATCAGGTTTGCAGAGATTGCCACGTATTAAAATGGACCAGATCACTACGCCCAGGTCTGTAGTGTTTTCTCAGCACAGATGCAGCAAAGGGTGGGGTGGTTTTGAGTTGCAAGGACTTCTCAGCTCAGAGTTCTCAAGAAGGTTGAGGATAACCACAACTACTGAGCACCTACATCACAGACATTGTACGCCTGCAGATTCAAGGTATACATTAAATCCTCCTTTGATAACGTTTGGCACATTGAGTATGAATCATCTTTCCATAAATAATACGTTTAACTCAAAATGCTCTTTCTAAATCAAGTGAAGGACTTTTATCTGTTAGACTGTTGTAGCAACTCAGATGAGATGTCAGTTGGAGGGTTGCAATAAGTAAGATTCAACAGGTGATAATATGATAATACTTGGAGGATTAAAAAGTTGTTTAAGAAGAATAAAGAGCGTCTGCAGGAAAAAAAAATCAAGTGCTAGTTTACTGAAAATAAGGTGCCCACATTGTTTTCGTCCATTGCTGTGCGGCGGTCCTTGCATTTGTGAAATTGTGGGCGAAGTAAAATAAAAGCCAGACTGTGTATTAAAATGACACTTTTTAACAACCATTTACTGACATATTTTGTTTCTCATCAGTGAAAAATAAATTGAATAAAACACAATCATTTTCAGCTTTATAGGATCTGCAGTTTCCTTCGTACAAATAAATGCTTCACTGACAACTATGCCCTTTTTTCAATTTGAATTAAAAGAACTCAAATCTTAAACATAAATGTCTAAATCAACGGTATTTTTTGTAAACTTCTATAATTTCTAGCGTAGTAAAATCGTTCGCAAAATGATGTTGCACCACATCTGTTTCTAACATGGGCAAAAACGCACACCTTTTACAGAACAAAGAGATTAACTGAAGTGTCACACAAACAATTGCACAATATTACCGGTTATTTAGGATTATGAGAAAATCAGACTGGGCCTTTGTATCTGTTTTTTTGTTTTGTTTTGTAAAAGACATTTGGGCTTAGTATGTTTATGGAACTTGACAATAATTTAAAAAATATCCATAAAATCTTCAGCTTCAAAGCTTCTAAGCAGAACTACCTACAGTAAACTGAAAAATAGCAAGTTTAAAAGATTGATGTTTTTATGACCTAGCAAACAAAATTGTATACATTTTATGCTGGAGTTTCTTAAGGCTCTTTTATTTTTTTTCACGCACTTGCTTACATATTTGTATGACTAAATTATGTGGTTAATTGACATTTCTTTCTTTCGTCTAGGAATTATTTTGACGTTAACGCTTTATTTTCTTTTTACCATGATACTTTCTGTTTGCTTTCTTCTTTTATATAAATGCCATATGTAAGGAATGACTGATTAACACTTAAACGTTCTTTGATTCTGATACAAGGTGCCCAACACTGCAACTGACAATTATTCCTGGCATCACAGTTGGAAAAATTCCCTTTTCCTCTGGAATGAGCAAACATTCAACAGAAAAATTGTAGTTTTGTATAGCTCCCATGTTGATTTAGTTTTTTTTTTAGAAAATCAAAAAGAGTACAGTTTTTAATTTTGGCACAATTATGTTTTTTTACTTCTCATCACGGTGAAAACAATGTTGGGATTGTTGTGTCCATGTTAATTCTTACCTGTCTCTTTCCTGTCTGGTTTCAGATCATCTGTGAACTTACCTCACCATGGTCTGGAATACAACTCAGCTTGATAATGAGACCCTGGAGATGTTCAGGAACACAGTGGTCAGAAATACCCTCTCTATTGTCTACTGCATCGTTATTTTGATCAGCCTTCCAGGCAATGGCCTTTCTCTCTGGCTCCTGCTCTTCCGCACGCATTCCAAGACTCCCACCATCATTTACATGATCAACCTCACTATCACTGACCTGGCCATATGCTTGTTCCTGCCTTTCCACATCAACTACCATCTCAATGGGTACAACTGGGTCTTTGGTGATGAGCTCTGCAGAGTTGTAACCATCATGTTCTACTCCAACATGTACTGCTCCATTTTGACAATGACTGCCATTAGCGTAGACCGCTGGATTGGAGTGCTGCGTCCAATATGGTACAAAAAGGTCATGAAAAAAAAGTATGCGGCGATGGTGTGTCTGGGAATGTGGGCAACCATTTTGATGGTTATGTATCCATTGGAGAGCACTGACTTAACCTATAAAGTGCAGGAGCTGAACATAACCACTTGCTTTGATGTCCTCAAAAAATCAATGCTCCCTTCTCTAGGACACTGGGCGGTCTTCCTGTTTACTTTGTTTGTTCTTCTTTTCTTGATTCCTTTCATTGTTACGGTGTGCTGCTACACTGGGATCATCTTCAAGCTCATGAAAAACAACAAAGGCACCGAGTTCCATAAAAAGAGAAGGGCGGTGCTTCTTACTATCACAGTGCTATTCGTTTTCACCACATGCTTTGCTCCCAATAATGTCATTTTGTTCGCCCACATGGTTCAAAGACTTTTCTTTGACAAGTCACTGTACACAGCCTACAAATTGACTCTGTCCCTTAGCTGCCTGAACAGCTGCCTGGATCCCTTCATCTATTATTTTGCTTCCAAAGAATTTAGGAGAAAGGTGAGGAAAGTTCTGGGATATAGCAACAACAGCAGTGACGTTCCTAAAGTTTTCTACAGAAAAGAGAGCATACTTTCAGCCCGAACACTCATGAGTACATGAGGATGCTGAGAGGAATGTTTTCTAGAAGAAACTGTTAGCATTTTGGACAAATTCAATATGCCGCATTAAATTACAATAAGCAGCCTTTGAAGTAATTAGGCAAAAACTTTTGATATGTTGCTGTACAGATTAATGCTCAATTATCTGATTATCTAGATTTTTATTCCATCCGTTTCATTCCATTCATTCACTGCTGGCTTTTCTTACTCTTGCATTCCTCCCCAGTCAACAGCACGTCTGGCTGATAAGACCAATCGAGAGTCAATGTGTGAGAAAGAAGTGTGTGGAAATTGCTGTATTATTAGAAAAAGAAAAGGTTCCACGTTGGTGATCGTGAACTTCCATAAAAAGGGCTTTTTCGGATAGCATTTACCGAACTGCAATAACACAGTAGCAATAAAAAATATAGATCATTCATTTTGTAACTGAAGCACCCACATGTAGGAAAAATTTCATTGGTTAGGGACAAGCTTACACTTACCTTGTATTCTGTAGCAAAATATTTATTCGTAATGTTTGCCAAATTTAGGAAGATAGAAAGGTTTTGGTATCTGAGTTTAAAGGGGTTTGTGTTGGTACTTGTCTCCTTAACTAACCTGAGATCAGAAGCTCCAGTAACGGATTAAGCAAGTAATCTTTTTGGGGGAAATGTCTTCTTCGCCGGCCTTTGCTCCACTATTCACAGCCGATGATTCATTTTTCGACTGTCTGCCTACATCAAAAAGAGACAATATTTTATGTTACAGAATGTTTCATGCAAGAATATGGAAATCTTGAAATTAGCTTGTTTCATTGTCATGTCCTTTTTGTGGCTAACTGGTAAAATAACACGTTATTTCTCCACTTGATCTCCACACTGGACTTAAGGGAGTGTTTAAATATTGTTTTGAGTACTGGAAACTGTTTTAAATGATGGCATATAACACATAACTATGTAAAGATTGTTAAGGTAATGGAATAACTTCATATTTCAGTGAAATATTTCAGCAGAATGTAAAGATGGTGTTACAATGTGAATTACCATATCAAAGTTCCATAGATTAGGTTACAGAGTTTTTCACCATCAAATATTTTAAAAAAATAAAATCCGCCTCAGATCTTTTGTGAGAAAACGTAAATTCTGTGAGTATTCTTACTTAAATAAATACTGTATTTAAATTGCACATTGGGGATTCTGAAGCCTACATTAAACTGATTGTATATTTTGCAAAATTGCTTTATAGATATAAAAACTCTGGTAGCTAATAATTTTTCTACATATTAAATGTATATTTAATAATCTAGTATAAAATAATACCCTAAATGTTATGTTCTGAACAAAACTGAACAAAACTGTTAGAAAACAAATTTCTGTCATCGTCTCAGATTTGTAACACTTTCACTCTAGTGGCATTAAAAGCTCATGCATCAATCTGGCTTTAAGAAAAAAATGCTCCTTCACCAGAACCACATAGCTCCTGTACTTGTCAGTGCAATGTCACTTGAATGTATGAATATTTAATGTTTCACAACAGATACCTGACCTAAAATGGTTTAAAATCCGATACCAGTCATCAGTCACATTGGTATCTGTTCTATAACTGAATTTAAAATCATATTGCACATTTGAACCTTTTTTCTTTAGCTGACTGTTTTCTCTCCAATGGAAAATAAAAACAAATGTTTTATATCCAGTATGTATGTTTATATATATACAGTATGTATGTTTTTGCACATGTAGCTCAAAGAAAATGTCTGTATCACCATAAGCATATCAGGTTATGTTGTTTTATTTGTAAACAATTTGTAAACAATTCTACTGTCATAGAATATCATTGTTCAATGCATTTATTTTAAGCTTAGCATGGCTCAAAATTAATAATAAAGCTTTGCTCATTGTGCTCTACAGTATTTTAACCTGTAGCATTAAATGCTTAATTCAGGGAATCAATTTTGTTAATTTTGTTTTTTAAATTAAGCAATGATATATTTTATATAAATACAACTTGATGAATTGTATATCTTATAAAAAGGTGTGCTCAGGCATTATCACTTAGATAGTTTGCAGCTTTACAGACTGATCCAAAATGCTGTGAGATGACAGTTTGATTTCTGCTGCTTCTCCACTTTTACAGCAAAACAGGATGTAAAAAGTGTTCTTACTTACTGTATGCCGGGCCCTTACTCAGTTCCTTTGAATAAACCTTCAAACCAATGCTGACTTTGAGTATTCCATTTTCTCCCTGGTCAGGTTTGTAACAAACTTCTCATGTCCCCTCAACTTGTCCTTTTAAAGAGGGAACATGTAACAATTTGCTGTCTTTAAATGGTGTGTTAATCTGTTTTCTTAAATACTCAATATAGTCAATACAACAACATGAGGTAAAATCTAATATTCTGTGTCAATATTCCTGTATCAGCTGTGTGCTCTTTTGTTTTTAATAATAGAAAAATGTAGAGGAAATTAAAAGCACAGAGAATGTGAATTTTGTGTAGCATGTAATGATTTAGGAAACTTTGCTTTAGTTTACATAAAAAAGAAGGAAACGACTGTTTCAGGTGTCTGCTGTTTTGCCTGCAGACTGTTCCCAAGAACAGGGATTAAGAATGCTTTTTTATCAGTGGCTGTGGTATGGATAAGTTATGGTATTTGACCTTTTCAAAGCTAGTAAGTTGTAGAGGTATTATTTTAACTGGGCGTATTTGAACCCAACACAGCTCCCGGAAGTCATTTCATATTGTGGATTAAAATAGCACTCGTATTTCTCACCTTGTAATAAAAAAGGAACCAATGCTACAAGTTGCGGCTATACTATTTTGTCTGCAATGTAACTTGATGAGGTCAAGGCTTGCATGACTTACAATAATTCTTACAATACCAAGTCATCTTATGTAGATTTATTGAAAGAAAGTCTTATCCAATATCCAATAAGTCTATCCAATATTTGGTCACAGGGGAGCTAAAGTCTTATCCTAGCAAGCAACAGGACAGCAGTCCTGTAACGGAACAGTTCTTTCCAGACCCTATGCGGACGACACAATCCGGGGTAGTGAGGAAACACTGGGGAGAAAAGTCATGCAGGAATCGGGAATGAATAAGGGGGGTCGTGTACAAAGTGCGCAGGTGTCCAGGGGGGTGAGTCTGGGGCAAATAATCCAAAGAAGAAGTTCAAAGGAGAATCCAAAACAGCGCAAAAGTCCATGGCCAGGTGATCCATCCAAAACAAAGGATTAAAAACTGGAACCGGGTCGGAACCGGCGGGAGGAGAACGAGAACAGAGAATAAAACCTTAAAGG